CTCCAGAAGCAAATTTGTTCCAATGACGGAAATCCTGCACCGCCTCAGACAAAACAGTTGTCAATGTTAAAAAGGGGGTGCGGGGATGCGTCGTCACGTCATTTGAAAATGCTTATTATGCAGGTGGTGCAAGATTTCCTCCATCCACAGTATCATGTCTCCTTGCAGCCAACATCACTGAGTCTGGGCTCCTCACTAGGTGTAACTCCGCAAACGGCCGCAAGAGAGCCCGCAAACTGGCAGAGGAGCATGCCGCATGCCTCAAACTACTTAAGGGCTCCCCATACACAAACTTCAATTGCACCTGGAATTACATGAGGGGTTCTTGGTCTGACTTAGCTGAAGGATGGTTCTTTCATGAAGGGGTTTGGAGCTCCCTGTGTAGCTGCTTCAAGCCTGAGTTGTGCTCAGACAAGGATAGCGAGGCGTTGATGAAGGAAGTGTCGGAAGAGGACTGCTGGATCTTGTTCAAGTCCAGGGCCCTCTCGCTGGGTGGTCTGTCAAAACAGCATGCCCCATGATTCCCCTCGTGATATAAGAGAGGTAACATACCGGGCTTGCAGAAACATTAGTGGTACTGATTGCCAAAAGATTCTTTGTGAACTACCCAGACCCAGATACCTCCCCAGAAAACTTCGCTGTCTCAAAGGGGCCCCAACTTTGAGTGGAAGATGTTTGGATGCGTCAAGCCAGCAACATCATGTCAGATGAACAGGCCATCCCCCAACCTTACTGGCGGTGTTAGTAACGAATACGGGAAGATGTTACATAGGGATTACTTCTATAGGGATTATATTCCCTCATTCCGTACTAACTACCCGTAATCAGTAGGACTACCAAATCTTTTGGGCAAGGCTTAAAGGATTGAGACTGGGTCAAAATCAGCCCTCAAAAAGCTTGGGGACACCGCAACACTCGCATGTGGGGGGTATTCCAAAATTAGGGGTATCTTTTTTGAGAAACTACACACATGCGCAAGGACAGGGGCCCAATTTTCTTGGAGAGGTTTAAAGTTCCCTAAACCCTAGACCCTAGACCCTAAACCCTATTGGGTTTAGGGTTTCGGGAGTCCCACATGTCTTCGGGCGCAGGAGATGACGGAGTTCTTCATTTATGTCGGCTGCTTAGTATATCGTTGGTTCCTTGCACATCGAAAGGGGATCTTGTTAACCTCAGCCCCGATAATAGGGACCCCTGTACGGCCATATGAGCTATGGACTTAATTGAGGTTGGGGGGACCTATGGGGGAACATATAGAGTTTTAGAGGGGACCTATTACGGGGTATACTACAAATTCAGTCCAGGGCTCATATGATGGTGACAGGGTTCTTCTTCTGGGGGGCGGGTAGCCAAAATCCCTTGCGGCTTCCCTTTAGAAGACACGGATGCTTCTGTGAATTAGGGCTATTTGATTGAAAGATGCACCGTTGGTGCACATTGTGTTTTGACAGTAGGGAGTTTATGTTCTATCGGAGCGTAAACGTTCTGCAACGGGGAGATTGAGCGGGGTCTCTCAAGATGGGCTACCCTAAGGAACCATGGGAACGTATGGGGTAAGGGAGGCTACACGTCCCCTTTACGGACTACATACGGATTACTTCGAGGAACTCTCCCATTTGGTCTGTTCGCCTCTTAGGCAAGAGAAGTGAACTCGGCGATGGCAGAGTTCCGCACTCGAAACACAGGGCATGTGTGCAGGCATACCGCAGCAACCAGTACGAATTGTTGGGCAGTGTCATGGAAGCTTTGAATGTATCAGCTTTGCACATCAGATGATGAAGTACGCTGTAGTCAACATATTACGAGCATTAACAGTAACATATTTGAACACTATACTGCTATATTACTACATGGCATCAGCACGTGACTTGCACTTGCCTGGCAATTAGTCCGGTGCGCTTGAGACAATTGTCGCAGCATCTAAGCCCAGTCTCTCAAAATCCGTCGAAAACCGCCCTCATAGTCTTCTCATAACTCCAATCTTGCGTCGGGCCCCGCATAACAGGGAATCTGGCGACATTTCTGACGTGTTCTCGGCGTGCCCGGCGTCCCAAGCGTCCCGCCCCCGCACCTGGTGCGGCGTCCCTGGTGTGTCCACTGCGGCCCCAGCGTCCCCAGCGTGCTCGTTGTCCCAACTCGAAGTCCCCAACAACATTTCAGTTCAAAATTTG